TTGGGGGCAATATGCTGACTCTCTGTAAACCGCTTAGAGAGGGCTGAAAGCCCTATGAAGCGGTATAGAAGTCTACTGCTATTGCTATAAGTCTAAGTACTATTGCTATTGCTATGAATGGTTTCTTGGGCACCAGGATGATAATAGAGAGTTTGAAATAAGAAGGAACTAAACACATTGCTTACCATAACAAAAAAACTGAAAAAACAGAATGATAATTGAATACTTGTAAATATCAGTATTGGAAACACCAATTAAATTTATTTGTTTCAGAAGTAAAATATTAAAATGCATTAAAAATGAAGTATAAATTTTATGTGAAAAACAAATTAAATTGATTTGTTTCAAAGGTAAAATATTACAACACATTAAAAAGTGAACTATACATTTTGTATGTGCTATGGTGTGCTGACATCTTGATGGCTTTTGTAGGTAGTCAACCTTTACAAGGGGAATTCTGGATTCAAGATGGTATATATTGGAGAGATTAAATTTCTTCAGACTGACAAGATTTTATTGATTAGATGCATTTCCAACTACTTAAAAGACAATGGTGTAAATTTGATTTTAAAAGTTTTTAAAACATATGATTTTGGACTATACATAAAAAATGTGCTTGCTATATGGATTTTGCAAAGTTAACAATAGATTAAGAGGCCCAGAAGTAATCGGAATTATATTTTTAATTATTTAGAAATATTTTCTCATTGGAAAATGGAGATGGTATTGATTTGAAAAAACTTTTTAGAAATGACAATCAAAAGGATAAATTTTATTTATTGATACAAAAAGATATTAGTTAAGATTCTTGTGGATTTTTGCTTTGAAACACAGATTATCTGTCTAGGACTTTTTTGAAGAGATTAAAGAACAATTTTCAATACTAATGGAAAGTTTATAAGATTGGCTTCTTTTCTTTTTTTCAGATATAAAAGCAGTTTTATATCTGTTTCTTTTTCTGGATTTTTGATGTCAAATATTCATTTACATTTCATTTGGACTCTGTTTTCGTTAATTAAAAGATGAGCTATGGGAAGAAGGTATCTCATTTAGAGATGATGATACACTTTTAGACTGTCAGCTGTTGTGAAGTATGATAATTCTTTATATTTTCCTTCCTTTTGTTAAACACATCTCCTTTTCTTTTTCTGTTGTTTTTCTGTTGGTAGTTTCTATTTTTGTAGTTTTATTAATTTTTATTCTTTTCATTTATACTTCTTAATAAAATTACTTGGAAAAATGAAATACCTTTCTCCTCATTTTAGGTAAGCAAATCAGTGAAATATAAGCCTATTTTATGATAAAATATTGTTTAGATATAAATATATTATTTGATTGTAATTTGATAAAATTTTCAACAACACACTATTTTTGCATTTCATGTTACTATATTAAAGATTATTTACTGTTTGTCATAAGCATATATTCTCATTTTAGGGTTAGGGTTACGGTTAACCTTAACCCCTAACCCTAACCTATTCATCTATTCATTTTCATTAAATAATGGAATAATTAAAGTAATTAAATAATTACTTTAAAAAAACAAGCCTTTTTCATATTCTTGTAGACTTTTACTAGAATCATATAATGTTATCATCAATTGCACTTTTTCTCCAGAATATTTTTGGTAAAAGTTTAGTGATACATTAATGATAATATTATAGTGTGTATATGTGTTATATTTATAGAACTTAAGTTTGAATTTCTAAAGATGGCTAAATTAGCAGGTGGTACTGCCAGGTATAAGCTACCCCAGGTATTGGTAGAGATAGAACTATTATTGTGTGGGAAAGAAAAATAATCCAGGCAGCAAAATTATGAATACATGTGATCTATTACTGTATATAGTATTCTTTTTGTGTGCATAAATTGCTCTGTGTGCACACTGAAAAAACAACTAGGCATTTCAGTTTCGTTTGAAGGACACACTGAGCCTAATAAAACACATTCAAAAATTTGCTACAAATTAAAACAGAAAGTTTGAATATTAATACTTCATAGAGATAAACATATCCTTGTGTATCTAATCACACAACTTGATATACATATATTTCTAATTCATTTAGAAGTAAATCAAACAGAGCTCACATTTAATTATCTAATCATTTGACTCATCAGTATGATGACACGAATACCAATCTTGCACAGCAGTAGAAACTTAAAATAAAAACAGACTAACCTTGTGCTGTGAAACTCATTGTTACTGAAGTAGTGATGAAGACTGGACACAGGTATCAAATGTTCAAAATTGCTTCTACTTTCACTGGGCTCACCAGTCTGATGTTAATCTATAGCATTCAATCTATTAATGAAAAAGAATAATATATTACACAACATATAAATAACTGAAAAAGGGATAAGTGATTTGGAATTGATTTAGTATTGCTAAAATGTTCATACTTAGTGAAATTACTATATTTCTTTTCTTTTACCTCTTTCATAACATTAATGAAAACTCAAAAGATTTGATCTGAGGAAATATCTAATTTCCTAATTGAGATAAGAAGATTTTGCAATTTATTTGGTACTTTCTATGTAAATCCCTATTAGATTCCATGCGAAGCCACTGTTACACTTGACAGCCAACTGTTTTATGGAATAAGTGAAAATATGAAACTGCTCAAAAATATCCATGAGATCCTATGAACAATAAAACTGGGCAAGATTTCATATTGTATGGTAATATAGATATAGAAATATTTTTTAAAAAGATTGTCTTTTCAAAGTTTTATTTTAATACATTTCAAATATTGAAATAAAATTTACTATAAGTTCTCAAAAATCCAAGTATTCAAAAATATTTTAGATTAAAAAACACTAATTCAGATTTGTTATCCTTAGAATGATTAGCAAGTGTTTAATGTTTTATTATGATATCTTGCATTATTTACACTGCCTGTTTTAATATAATTATCACATATTTTGACCATTAATCATATTTCAAAGTGATAAATCAGAGAATAACGTAATATTTTACATTAAATGTAACATTACATTAATTTTTTAAAAAGGGACCATTTTATGACAGGAGAAATGTTGTGTGTGGCAAAGTAATTATAATTCCTTGAAGTCTTCTTTAAAAATAATATAGGTATTGTAATCCTCAATTAACAATCACAACTGGGACTGGCAACTCCATTACTAAGGAACTTTGTCATTAAGCAAATCATTTGCGATTTTTAAGTGAGATATAACACGCAATTTTACTGCTGGTTTTTCCATTGACTGTCAGAAACTGACTTAAAACTAAAAAAAACGAACTTATCTGCGATATGCTGCAATGGTCATAAATCCATGCTGTTATCCAGTATCCAAATGACCATCATGTGACTGCTGTGATTGTGGTTAAATTTAATGAACAGTCATAAAATTACTTTTCCAGCACCATCTTAACTTCAATTGATTGCTAAACACAGCAATTATTAGGACTACCTGCATACTGTATGCCTCTAAGAATAACAGAATACCAAATATACCAATATTACATACAAATTCCCTGTGCCTTCTAATTACTTCACTACATAAGTCAACTGATAAAGAAGGAGAAAATAATGGAGGAAGGGGTACACATAAAATTTCTAGAACAAGAAAAGTTCCGGCATTTCTCTCTTGCACCCCATTCTTTCTGCTAAAACTGTGCCAGATTTCTATCTTGCTTTTTACATGCTTCAGACAATCCATGCTCAGAAAGATTACATTTCCCTTTCAATCTGGAAATAACTAACTGAGGGAGATCTAATCATCACAAATGAAGGCAAATATATCTCTCCCACATAATGTTGTAGGATCCAATCTGAGTCAGTCACCAAGACCAGAAGTTTAGTGTTCTGAGGTTTCAGTCTTGTGCTGTTAGCCTATTGTCAGATAACTTCTCACTCACCATACATTCTGCTGAGAGAAAAGTTCCTTGAAGATGGGATCAAGCATGAATTCAAAAGCTCATAAGACTAAACCTCTGGTACCTGTGACTGACCCGAATTCGATCCTGCAGATCTAACCAGGTTTAACTCTGGTTTCACCTATTGCCAACAGATTCTCTGCAAAGAAATGTGATTGTGAGAGAAACAGATTTGCTCACAAATATGCTTCTGTGCTGGCACTCATTAGAATCAACATTAGCAGTCTGAGGGGTAGGCTGCTGGGAGTTCGCAGGGGTTCAGGACAGTGGTGAGATTCAAAAAAATTACTACTGGTTCTGTGGGCGTGGCTTGGTGAGCATGACAGGGGAAGGATACTGCAAAATTTCTATTCCAACCCCACTCCAGGGGAAGGATACTGCAAAATTTCCATTCCCACCCCACTCCAGGGGAAGGATACTGCAAAATTTCCATTCCCACCCCACTCCAGGGGAAGGATATTGCAAAATTTCCATTCCCACCCCACAGGGTCTCTGGGCGCATGCCCAAGATGGTATCCTGTTGTGTTTGAGGAGAGCTTCGGGGAGATGATTGTCCTTCTCGGGGGCTTTCAGGGGTACCCTATTCCATCGTTGGTTCCAGATTTAGCTATGAGAACTTCCTGGGACCTCGGAGATACCCTTGAGCTGTGGTTTACTGCTTAATAGCCGGAACATCATGAGTGAAAGGGGGCGGCTGGCGGTGAGAGGAGAATGAAGAGCATCAGTGGCTGCCAATGTGGGTGCGGTCAGCAGCAGCAGAGGGACGCCCAGCTTGGGATCTCTTCAGCCAGCGTGGATGGCTCAGCGCCAGCTTCCCACTACCCCCCTTGAACACAGCTGGCATGGGTGTGGTCATCGGAACGCCCAGACTGGTGACTCTGAAGCCTGTGTGGGTGTGCTCAGCGGCAACAGCTGGCATGGGTGTGGTCATCGGAATGCCCAGCCTGGGGGCTCTGAAGCCGGTGTGGGTATGTTCAGTGGCAGAAGCAGCGGGCCACCCAGCTTGGGATCTCTGCAGCCGGCGTGGATGGGCTCAGCACCAGCTTCCCGCTACCCCCCCCCTTGATCACAGCTGGCATGGGTGTGGTCATCGAAACGCCCAGCCTGGTGTCTCTGAAGCCGGCATGGGTGTGCTCAGCGGCAGCAGCAGCATGTTGCCTGGCTTGGGATCTCTGCAGCTGGTGTGGGTATGCCCACTAGCAGCCTCCCACTACCCCCATTGAACACTGTCGGCTCCTCCCCCCTGTGGACATGTCATCTCCTTGTTCCATCTCCCCGTGATATCATCCCATTTGGTTGATGCCACACTCTATGCTATACTGCGTCAGAACTTTATTCCCTTCGGGAACTCCCCCTTTCCTGGGAATGGCCTTCTTGCCTAACAAGACGCTTCCTTAATGATGGATCTTGGAATCCCGAGAGGTGGCATGCGAAGAAGAGACTTCTTAGGAGTTTTTTACTGGGGTTTTTTAATCAAATTTTAAGGGGAGGGCGGGGGGGGGTTGAGTCGGATTGCTCAGACAGGCTTGGGGGGAAGTCTGCCAGGGCACAGGTCAGAGCTAACTAATGGGCATGGGTCGGGAGTGCTAGGACGGATTGGGATTCTGGGGGAGACATTAAGCCATTCCATTGGGGGGTTCACCATCTCTACTGTTTGTGGGAGAGGCAGATATGGTGGGGGCCGAGGGCCAAATTATGTTCGGGGTCCGCGGGTCCCCTGTTTAAGAGCGATTGCGTGTTCCAACCCTCATCACCCTTCTCACACCCCTGGTGCTCGGGATTACAGGACCCTGGTCTCCGGCTGGTGTCGCTTAACGCCAGGTCCATGGTACATAAGGCTCCCCTCATTTATGACCTCATACAAGAGGGTAGAGCAGACCTGGAGTGCATTATGGAAATCTGGTTGGGTCATGAGGGGGGTGTTCCCCTTAGTGAATTATGCCCACCAGGCTTCCAGGCGTTTCACCAGCCAAGAGCCCAGGGCAGGGATGGGGGGGTGGCAGTGGTTATTAG